TGAATTTTTCATCTCGCAAGTTTTAAAATACAGTTAATTTTATTTCGCTAGCTGCCCCTGTTCTCGAAAAATTAGGTAAAGTAAATTTTTCACCCGAGTAAAGTTATATCGACCCCTAATCAAAAAAAAAAAAAAACTTAAGTACAAATATTTTTGAAATTTAAATTTTGATGTACACAGAAATTTTCTTACAGCATCGATGTGCATTTCTGCGTCTAAAAGAAAATTTAGAAAAAAATCGTACGTCTTTTTGATGGCAAGGGCTGGATATATGTATTTATCGTCCTACGCCATTATGTAAAAATTTCTTCGCAACCCTAAAATAATACAATATACTGTAACTGCAAAAACCAAACTATTTTCGTCACCCACAAATAGGTGGCCAACATCTGTTGAGTATTTTCAAAAACTTATTTTATACCTAAAACTTTTGCAATAAAATTTAATATACTCATACCAACCGCAAATTAGTAAAACTTTTACGCAACAAAAAAGTCATAATTTATAAACGTAGAAAAGCTTGAAAAAGGCAAATACTTATACCAACATATCAGTGGTCAAAAGCAATAACCGCCTAAATCGAAAATCATGAATTCGAGAAAAAACGTTTTAAACATTTGGATTGAAATGTTAACCTTATGCGGAAACCAAAATATGCTCGTCTATAACTTTCTAAATAGCCTAGCTGGCGAGATGGGGACTTCACATACACACGGAATAGTAGTTACAAAATACGATAGCATATATAACTCAATTATTTCTTAAGTCGACTTAGGCGGTTATTGCTTATGACCACAGATATATAATACACTTACACGCACATGCATACATATGCACATCCTGTTGTATGTGCCCAACGGAAAGCTTACATTTCTGTGTACAAAATAAATGTAATATGACAATAGCAGGAAGAATTACAAACAAAGTACAACTGAGACAACAGTAAGCTGACAAAAAGAGCAACAAATAATGAAAAAAAACTTTGTTGTCTACGACCACAAGTACACTCAAACGTTCGAGTGTCTTTTTATTGTCCCAGCAGCAGTTGAAGAGGCACAGAGGAATATAGTATATTTATACATAAGTAGATATCTAGCTGCTAGGTAGGACAAATTTTTTATACACATATTTTTAGCTATATGTATATGTGTGCATTTTCATGTAGGTGTCATTGACAAATCGCATATTGAACAATTTGTCACCAACTCCCAGTGGATAGCCACAATATGTACTCACTTTATGCAATCGCTGGGGGAACATGTATGTATGTAGTGTGAACTTAAGCTCTACCCAGAATTACTGCGGACGACGGTAAAGCGGTCGGCGGTAAGTGAACAGCTGAACAGTTGCCGCAGTGAAATCCGTCAGAGTAAACACAATTGCGGCGCATGACAGCTTCAGTCAGTTGTCATTTTGTTTTGAAAATTATCATTAAAATTAATTATTTTTTCGTTACGTGCGTGGAGGGTAGTAGACGCTCCTAAATAGTATATTTTTGGAGTTTTAAAATATGCAATAATTATGATTGGAAGGTCGTGAGCTGAATCGATTTAAAAATACCTCCAAAAATGTAGTTTTTTATGAATAACAATAGTTTTTTTAAAGCATTTTTTTGAAAAAAAAATCACTCGGACGAAAAAACAGTTTAAGCTTAAAAAATCT